GTAAAAATCCTCAACAAAACATTAGCAAACCAAATTAAGCAACACATTAAAAAGATCATACACCATGATCAAGTGGGATTTATTCCTGGGTTGCTAGATCGTTTCAGTACCCGCAAATCAATTAACGTGATACACCACATAAACAAAATCAAAGATAAAAATATGATCATATCAATAGATGCAGAAAAAGCATTTGACAAAATCCAGCATCCATTTATGATAAAAACTGTCAGCAAAGTGGGTATAGAGGGAACATATTTCAACATAATAAAGGCTATATATGACAAACCCATCACTCACATCATACTCCACAAGGAAAAGCTAAAAGCATTCTCCTTATGATCAGGAACAAGACAAGGATGTCCATTTTCACCGCTTTTATTCAACACAGTATTGGAAGTCCTAGCCACAGCAATCAGACAACAAAAAGAAATAAAAGACATCCAAATTGGAAAGGAAGAACTAAAACTTGTCATTTTTTTGCAGATGATATACTGCATATAGAAGAAAACCTTAAAAATTCTACCAAAAAACTATTAGAACTGATAAATGAATTAAATAGGATATACAATTAATATTCAGAAATTGGTTGCATTTTTATATACCAATAATGAACAGTTAGAAAGAGAAATTAAGAAAACAATCCCTTTACAATTGCATAAAAAAACTAAAAAAATAAAAAAAACTAGGAATAAATTTAACCAAGGAGGTAAAAGACCTGTACTCAGAAAACTGTAAGACACTGAAGAAAGAAAATGAAGAAGACTCACATAAATGGAAGCATATACCGTGCTCATGGATAGGAAGAACTAACATCATTAAAATGTCCATGCTACCCAAAGCCACCTATAGATTCAATGCAATGCCTATCAAAATACCAATGGTATTTTTCACAGAACTAGAATAAATAATCCTAAAATATATGAAACCATAAAATACCCCCAATAGCTACAACAATCTTGAAAAATAAGAACAAAGATGGAAGGATCACAATACCTGATATCAAACTGTCCTACAAGGCTATAGTAATCGAAACAGCACAGTATTGGCATAAAAACAGACACATATATCAATGGAACACAATAGAGAGCCCAGAAATAAACCCATGTCTATATGGTCAATTAATCTATGACAAAGGAGCCAAGACTATACAATGGGGTAAAGGCAGTCTATTCAATAAATGGTGCTGGGAAAACTGGATACATGCAAAAAAAAATGAAACTGGATCACCTCTTACACCATATACAAAAATAAACTCAAAATGGATTAAAGACGTAAATGTAAGACCTGAAACCATAAAACTCCTAGAAGAAAACACAGGCAGAAAACTGTCTGATATTGCTCTTAGTACTATTTTTCCTGATTTGTCTCCTCAGGCAAGGGGGACAAAAGAAAAACTAAACAAATGAGGCTACATCAAACTAAAAAAGTTTTTGCACAGCAAAGGAAACCGTCAACAAAACAGAAAGACAACCTACTGAATGGGAAAAGATATTCAACAATGATATATCCATAAGGAGTTAACATCTAAAATTTATAAAGAACTCATACAACTCAACACCAAAAAAAAAAAAAAAAAAAAAAAAAAAGAAAATAATTCTTCCCTCGTCCCTGGCAAAACTGGATTAGTGAATGACATGTTCCTATAAATGCTTCCACAATAAATCCTNAAAAGATATTCAACAATGATATATCCATAAGGAGTTAACATCTAAAATTTATAAAGAACTCATACAACTCAACACCAAAAAAAAAAAAAAAAGGACGGCCAAGTGGCTCATTGGTTGAGTTGGCTTGGGAGCAAGTGTGAGCTCTGAGCAGCAGGGCCGCCGGTTCGGATCCTACATGAGCCAGTGACGCTGCGCCCTCTACAGCTGAGATGGTGAACAACAGCTTGACCTGGAGCTAGGCTGCTGTAAGTTGCCGCAGTGGGGCTGGCTGGCAGCTGGTGTGAGCTTTCGTGAGCTGCCATGAGCCACCGGAGCGGCTGTCCAATGGCCGGCAACTGATCTGCCTCACCCGGGAAGAGCACAATGATAATGCCAACATGGGCCAGTGAAGTAATGTCCTCCACAACTAGACTGAAGAACAAAAGGACAGCAACTTGTCTGTTCCCCTTTCCCAATTCCCCAATGCTGTTCCCCTCCCCCATCCTCCAATAAAATCTTTAAAAGAAAAATGTAAAAAGGAGGGGAAAGGTAAAGAGGAATAACAGGTTCAAATTTCCAGATATAAAACAAATAAATCATGGGGATGTAATATACAGCATAAGGAATATAGTCAATAGTACTGTGATAGCGTGGTATAGCATCAGACGGTTGCTAGACTTATCATGGTAATCACTTCTTTAGGTATATAAATATTGAATAACTATGGTGCACACCTGAAACTAATATACGAGTAATATTGTATGTTGGCTGTATTTTAATAAAAAGCTTTTTTAAAAGTTTAATAAAACCAAGTAGATAAAATAGAAAAGAAAAAAACAAAAAAAAACCAAGTAGAACTTTTCATATTACAATTTGTTTCTTATGACTATTTTAAAGTTTATTACTTTTAATAATTGTAAAAGACTAAATAAAAGAATTTCAATAACATAAAAAATACATATTGATACCAGTACACTGTATTGGGAAGAATGAGGAAAAACAGACTTTTTCATACCATCTGGTGGTAGAAAGATTGGTACAATCTTTACAGAGGGTGCCAAATAAATGTATGCACATTTTAAGAAAGGAAAAAGCTGTATTAAAATTGTAATACTCAATATATACTAATAACAGAAGATGAATACAAGTCATGTTTGACTTCTGTAATTACAAGAGGTGCTCAAAGTGCTTGCCATCAGCATAAATTTAATACAGTTTCTACCTTTCTTAAAATGTGTATACATTTTTTAGCACCCTCTGTATAAATTATAAATGCATACATTATGAGTTTTTCTCTACAATCGTGTGTAACCATATATATACAAGGATACTCACTATGATGTCATTTTTTTACATGCATGTGCATATTTTATTTTTTTTAATTTCTATTAAAGTACAGTTGACATATGAGTTTCAGGTGTACAACAGTTATTCAACATGTATATACTTTACAAAGTAATCACTGCAATAAATCTAGTAATCATCTGTCACCATACAAGTTATTACAATACTATTGACTATATTCTCTATGCTGTACATTACATCTTTGTAACTTATTTATTTTATAACTGAAAGTTTGTACCTCTTACTCCCCTTCACATTTTTCATCCATCTCCCTACCCACCTCCCCACTGGCAACCATCAGTTTGTTCTCTATAAGTCTGTGTCTGTTTTGTTTTGCTTTTTAGATTCCATATGCAAATGAAACCATACAGTATTTATTCTTCTCTGACTTATTTCACTTAGCATAATACTCTCTAGATCCACCTATGTTGTCACAAATGGCAAAATTTCATTGTTTTCTATGGCTGAGTAATATTCCATTGTATATATACACACACACATCTTCTTTATCCATTCATCAATCGATGGACATGTAGGTTGCCTCCATATCTTGGCTATCTTGAATAACGCTGCAATGAACATACGGGTGCACATATCTTTTCAAATTTTTTTTTTTGTTTTCTTCCGATAGATACCCAGGGTGGAATTGCTGGGTCCACTAAGGTATCATTTTATAGCAAAAGATAAGACAAACTTAATTGTTTACCAACAGTAGACTGGTTAAACAAATCATGGCCCAGAAAAAAAATGAGGGCACTCACTGCACTGATATAGAATGACCTTCAATATAAACTGTCCAGTAAAAAGAAGCAAGTTATAGAGAAGTATGTGTATCATACTAGCACTTACATAAAAGGACTAACTCTTAGGCAAAGAAACTGGCAGGATATATGGCCAAGAGTGGGAAGAACACATTTCTTTTCTTTTCTTTGATTAATTTTAATGAAATGGTAGGATGAGGTACTTACACTGTTTACACATTTTGTATTTTATACCATAAACACAAAGTACCTATGTAACACACTAACTTAATTTTTTTAATTCTGTATTTTCAAAAAAAAATTCTGTATGTTCCCTCATACAGAAACAATACTTCTGTTTTCATAATATAAGTAGAAATAATCATCTGAGGTATACAGAGACAGGGTATGGTTTTTGTAATATTGTAGATAAAATCCTCTCTTAAGGAGCTTGAAAACACACAATTGTTATATTATAATCAAATCCTGTATAAAGAAAAGTCTTTTTCTATAACAGGATAGAGAACAACTAAACAAGACCAAATTCAGTAAATCTGACACATAATGCAAGTAAGCTAGCTACATGTGGGAGTCCCAGATAAAATTCTAGTAACACAGTTTTGAAAAGCCAGAAGATGGCGATATTACTTCATTCAAGTCTCACTGGTACCAATACCTAAGCCTCCCACCCTTTGTCAGTAAGGAACCTGTTTTTCTTCTTGTCTCTCTTGTTGCCCTTCTACATTCCCTCCTATATTTACCTATCCTTCTACGCTTCACCCATGATATGAAACTGAAATAAACATTAGTGGAAAAGGAAGGTAGAAGAAATTCCTGAATTTATAATACTATTTTTAAGTGAATATAACATAATTAAAATGTATTATAAAGTTTTATTAAACATGAACACACAAGTTTATAACCATTCTCTCCCAAAAGTACACTAAAATGATGATAAAGGACTAAAAAAGGATAAACCCATCAAAAAACATATATACACATATAATAACATGAAAGGAGAGATCAGCTGATGAGAGACATAAACAAAGCTTTATTGAAGCCAGATAGATGATTGCTGAATAGTAGCTGGCTTGGTAAAACAGAACAAGCCAAACCCATGCACGTGAGGCGGGTGTGGGTGAGCATGAAACCAGTAAGATGCAAGCACAACAGAAAGGCTTAAGATTCTGAAGGCAGGGTCCTGAGTTGGGACTGAAAACAGAAATGCTGAAGTTTGAATACGGAAGTTTTCACCGAAAAGCCTTACCATGTAGCCAAGAAACTGCCTCTCCTGCACCCCAACAGAGACAAGTGGTTTACCTTCTTAAGGCACTAACCCAGACAGGATGTAGAAACCAGTTACACACAGGGTTGTGTCATAATCAGACCACGAAGAGATTAAATGAAGATTTACATGCTGAATAGTGGGCTTCACCTCATTTCCCCAAATCAGCTTCCCGAAAACAGGCCAATCAGGCAGGGGTCTAGGAGATGCCTCCATGGGAAATCTGACACAAGAGAAAAGACTTACGATCACTCACTCAATCATCCTGTGTTAAGACTTGAAGCTAAAGAAACAAACTCACAGATACGGAGAACAAAGTGATGGTTGCCAGATGGGAGAAAGGCTGAGGGGCTGGGTGAAAAAAGTGAAGGGATTAAGAAGTACAAATTGGTAGTTACAAAATAATCACAGGGATGTAAAGTACAGCATAGGGAATATAGTCAATAATATTGTAATTGCTATGTATGGTGTCAGATGGGGGTACTAGACTTATCGCGGAGATCACTCCATAAGTTATGAAATGTCTAACCACTATGCTATAACACCTGAAACTAATATAATATTGAATGTCAACTGTAATTGAAAAGAATTAAACAAAAGACTTAACAGTTAACAACTCCCCATGAACAGTTTTTATTTTTTTTTATTTTTTTATTTTTTGGCTGAGCCATCCTGCCACCTTTTGGCAGCTCAGCGGCAGCTCAGCTCAGGCCAGAAATCAAACCGCTGTTGCTCAGAGCTCACACTCTTGAGCAAGCTCTTAACCAACTGAGCCACTCGGAGGGCCCCCTTACTCAGCTTTTTATTACCTCACTCTTTAATCTGAACAGATGACCAAAATTTACCTAAAAAACTGAGGAAAGCCTCTAACATGAAATGATAAGACCAAATAACAAAACATGAGTAGATCAAATTAATAAACAAAATAGAAAGAAAAAAAGAAAAGAAGGGAGGAGAGAAAGAGAGAAAACAAAGGAATGGTAAGAAATTTCGCATGAAGTAGAACAAAAAATGGCTTTTTAAAAATTGAAAAATATTAGAACCCTAATCCAGAATGTCCAACTAAAAAGAAATTCCAGAAAATAAAAAGGAAAAAAGGTAAGAAATTATATACATTAAAAAAAAAATGATACTTTTGTTTCTGGCAACACAGTGAACTAAATGATGTGTAACAGCATTAACAAATATCTAGAAATGTTGTATAAATTAAAATAGATATTCTCTCAAATGCTGAGTGGATAAGAAAACAAAGTTTTCAGCTGCTGTGGAGGAACTGGTCAATATAAATAACCAAAATGTTTGGCCTTTAATGGCTCTAAAGTGACAAGAGCCAAGGCCTAGGGAGCCACATGAAGTAAAGAGTTAAAATTGAGGCTCCCATCCACCCCCTTTCACACATTCTCACTGAAAAGATGGACTGGGGTGGTGGGTGGGGGGGTTGGTAATCAGCCACCAGCAAAGATAAGACAAGAAAATGTCTCCATCTAGCTCTAGACTCTGGAAATTAGGGAGAAAAAGGATCTCCTAAAAAAAATCCTCAGATTCAGATATCACAATGACCTCCAATTAAAAAACAAAACAAACTCACCCAGACACAGCAAAACACTAAAAATAAAGAGATCTTAAGAGCATGCAGAGAATGACACCAAAGGTAAAGCAACAAAAGAAAAAAAAAAAGACAAATAGGACTTCAAATCCAATGTCATCAAGTTTCTTCCTATGTTTTCTTCTAAGAGTTCTATATTTTTAGCTCTTAATGATTAGGTCTTTGATTTTGAATATGGTATGAAGTAAGTTCCAACTTCATTCTTTTTCATGTGGATATTCAGTTTCCCCAACAACATTTGCTGAAAAGACATTCCTTTCCTCCATCGAATGGTCTTGGCACACTCATCAAAAATCATTTGCCCATGTATGCGAGGGTTTATTCTGGGCTCTGTATTATATTCCACTTATATATATATGTCTGTCTTTATGCTAGTACCACATTGTTTGATTACTGTAGCTTTGTAATAAGGGTTGAAATTGGGAAGTGTGAATCCTCCAGCTTTGTTCTTTTTCAACATTGTTTTGGTTATCTGGGGTCCCCTGAGATGCTACACGAATTTTGGGATGGATTTTTCTATTTCTGCAAAAAAATCATCATTGGGATTTTGATAAAAATTTAATTGAATGTGTATATCATTTTGTGTTGTATTACATTTTAACAATATTAAGTCTTCAAATCCATGAACACAGGTTGTCCGTTTATTTGTGTCTTCTTTAATTTCCTTCAGCAATGTTTTATAGTTTTCAATGTATCAGTATTTTGCCTCCATGGTTAAGTTTATTTCTAGGTATTTTATTCTTTTTTATGCTATCCTAAATGAAATTGTTTTTCTTAATCTCCTTTTCAGATTGTTCCTATGTTAGTGAATTAAAATGCAACTGATTTTTGCGTGATTTTTCTTCATCCAGCAACTTTACTGAATTTTGTTTACTAGTTCTAACAGGTTTGTGAGTGTAGAATTCTTTATGATTTTTACATATAAGATCATATTGTCTGTAAACAGATAATTTTTATTCTTCCTTTCCAATTTAGATACCTTTTATTTCTTTTTCTTGCCTAATTGCTCTGGCTAAGACTTCAAGTACTATGTTAAATAGAAGTCGTGAACGTGGACATCCTTGTCTTGTTCCTGAACTTAGAAGAAAAGCTTTCAGCCTCTCACCATTGAGTACGTTAGCTATGGGTGGGCTTTTCATATATAGCCTTTATTATGTTGAGGTAGTTTCCTTCTCCTCCTAGTTTCCTGAGTGGTTTTATCATGAAACTGTGTTGAATTTTGTCAAATGCTTTTCTGTATCAATTGAAAATATAAACTTTATAATAAATGGTGCTGGGTAATCATTTGAAAAAGATAAAACCAGATCTATCTCATACAACACACAAGAATAAATTCTAAAATGATTAGAGATTTAGATGTGAAAATGAGAGCAAGCCGCTATCAACTTAACCAAGTGACAAAGGTAAACATCACCGATGGTAAAACATTAACAACATGATGAACGTCTTGATATGACACCCAGGGGAAAACAGAAAGATACAACATCATTTTTTGTGGTATTTTTACCAAAAATACATAACTGCACACCAATCAGAGACAACACTGGACAAATCCAAATAGAGGGACATTGTGAAAAACAGAAAAACTGAAGGCTGTTAGAGAAAAGAGATGACTAAAGAGCGAGAACAACTAAATGCAGTGTGGGATCCTGAATAGAATCCTGGAACAAAAAAAATGTCTTTAGTGAAAAAATTGGTGCAATTCAAATAAGGTTTGAAGTTCGGTCAATAATACTGTACCAATTTTAATTTCTTGCTCTTGATAATTACACTATGGTTATGTAAAATGTTAACATTAGGAGAAATGAACTGAGTGATATAACTAAACTCTGTACAACTTATGAAAATTTCCTGTAAGTCTAAAATTAGTTCAAAATAAAAGGCTTTTTGCAAAGAAAAAGAGCAATAATTATACCATTAAGAGAGACAACCATCAAGTGAAATAAAAGTAGATATGGTTAAAGGCGGTTTTACTATTCCATGCTGTTAAGGGTCAGAATAGTTCTTAGGGAAGAGAGGTTCATAACCAGAAAGGGACACTGGGTGCTGGTAATGGTCTTTTTCTGGATCTAGGGTGCTGGTTACACAGATGTTATTTAGTTAGTGAAAATTAAGTGCAATTTTTAAGTCTATCATCTGTCAATAAAAAGCATTTTCTAAATATGGTTTTACCTATGGAGAGTGAGATAAAAAATACGACGAAGACTTTTCTTCTGGAAAATTTTGAAATTGGTTAAGAGCCGAATATTAATACAAGAAGTCAGAAAGGCAAACTTGAGACCCTAGGGCCACAAGAGTCCAGAAAACAAAACTGGCCTACCTTATTTCCTCATCCTTAGCACCTGATCTCCTATATGCCTCTTGAGGAAATGTGCAACTTGTGCAAGATAACCAAGAGCTAAGACTAAGAGTAGTGAATGTCACAATGGGGAATATCAGACACAATAAGATTCACACACACTAAGCATTAAAAATGTAAACTGTGAGAGCTTACAGTATTGGACATAAACATTTTTAACAAAAACTGGTTACTTAAGATAAATGTAGATTAACCATGCAAAATTCATGAAAGTTGCTATTAGTCACAGCATGAAAATTTACTTTCTATTCTGCCTATTATTATAGGAGGCCTAATAAATAACTAGATGGTGGGCTGAGAATTATTCTACCCTTGAGGTAGTTAAGAAAATAAAAAACAATCATAGGGCTGGCCGAGTGGCGTGTTGGTTAAGAGCTGGCTTGGGACACCAGAGGGCCCCAGCTTGGATCCCACATATGCGGGCCAGTGACACTGCCCCCTAGAGCTAAGATGCTGAACAACAGCTCAACCTGGAGCTGGGCTGCCCTGAGTCGCGGCGACCGCGTGGGCTGCAGCCCATGTGGCAGTGGGTTGCCATGGGCTACCGTGTGTAGCCGGCAGCCAGCGTGAGCAGCCAGCAGCCACCGTGAGCGGCCATCCAGAAGCTGGCGACTGATCTGCCTCGCCCGGGAAGAGCGCAATGAT